GTAAAACAAACTCGCATTTTCGAAAAACAAACTCCCATTTTCGAAAAAGCAAATTCTTAATCTCGAAAAACGAACTCCCATTTTTCATAAGTAGATGTCCCTTTGGGGCTTCCGTACATTCAAGTTGCAGTCACTTCGCAGTGTAGGCTGATTATATAACGCTTTACTCGCACATTTTTAACTTGATAAATCCAAGTTGTAGGTATGGCTGGGAGATTCAATCGATCCTTTCCTCGCTCCTTCCTTCGATCATTCCTTCAGTCCTTCGCTTTCCTGTAAGACTTTTTTTGAATCCGCCGACCAATGTATAAGGTTTTTGCATTCGTAGCGAAGTTCAAGTTATTTTATTCGACGTGGCGGTGAAACGATTTCCTCACCGAGTGAGTAGGTTAAGTTTAAAATACGTCTGAATGGGAAGAAAGGGCTAATGCAACAGAGAAATGGTAGAGGAAAGCTTGTATTTGATTACTTCTCTGACTGTTAAGGAACAGAACGTCTGAACAATAGAAATTATTTATGCATGTTTTAAAGCCTGAGTGAGTGACGCAAATTACAAGTGTAACAATAATAACTTAACACATATAGCGTGGAGAATGCCACGGTTTTTGATACAGAATCTTTATTGGTACAGAAAAGCAGTTAATTAACTTAATTTTCGTTTTAATAAAAAGGAATTGATAATTAACATGTATTTGCGGGTTTTACGCTTAAAAACTGCGAAAGAAAATGAGTACTGGCCCCACAGGGATTTTATTACTTGGTCACGCGTCCAGTACCAAGTTGGCTTTGATGATCACAGACATATAGAAGCGTTGCTTTCTTTGTGGTAACATCTCGGACTAGGATACGGTGTAACATCCCTTAGGTATTCACTCACTGTTGCGTTTTGCATTGTTTCTTACAGTCATCAGCTCCTGTTTCTTAACAATGCCAGTGGGCTTTAACTTCATTTATTGCCTCTTTAGTATGGAGTGTGATTTACCGTCAAAAGTAAAAATGGAATTGTGATGTTGAATTAGTTATGCCATTAAAATGTGCAATGATTTGAATATTCTCCCCCTAGTTTAAAATGAAATAAATTCGATTTATTATGACTCTTTGTTAAAGCTTCGTTTAAAACTAGTATATGAAAAACATATTTCGAACAACAATGCTGCAGCTCTTTTGAGACGGTTTTTTATTCCAGGTATAAGCGCCCCCGTATATAGGTCCCTCTGTTTATTAGCCCATTCAAAAACCCTTAACAAAGTTGTATAAGGACTGTAACTAAGGACAAGGCTTATAAGCTGCAGTTTTACGGTATCCTATTTTGTATCAATTCTGATATTCAAATATTTATTTGTGGCACTAAAATATGCAGTTCTGAAATACAATTGAATATTCAATTATCCTGCGCATGCATTCAGGTCTGATATTCAGTCATTGAATTATTACGTGACGGTATTCGGCATGGCAATAGGCCTATTCACGGTTAATTTTTCTCATTTGTATCACAATGTAATCCAACGTGGATGCGAGGCAATTTCGGGCTAAAACTACAAAATAGCCCGAAATTGCCTCACACACATGCTAGATTTTATTGTAATGCAAATGAGCAAAGGTAACCGTGAAAAGGGCTATTGGAACGAACTGAGTTGGACTGGGCTTCAGCCAGTGACCGATAATTATGATAAGTAGTAGTTTTCCCGCCAAAACGTAATTTATGGAAATTCATGCCCACTTGGAGAAAAACATGGTGGACAGCGGAGAGGACGAGGATAATACACAGACTAGGGACCCGACCACACTTATGCGTACGCATACTTTTTGATGCGTTTTAATTTCTCCTATCATCCACACTTAAACGATCGAAAACGCTGATGAAAAGGGAGGCTTACGAAAAAGTTCTCGAAAGTGGAGCGTATTGAAACATCGTTTTGAAAACGCTCCGTTTCTAGTGTGGACAGGTGAAAACGGAGGCTTTTTAAAACGGTGACGAAAAAAGCGTCTGTCACTTCCATCAGCGTTTCGAGCGTTTTAGTGTGGACGATAGGCGAAAACGCATCAAAAATGATGCTTTTCCGAATGAAAACGTATTAGTGTGAAATATTTTAGTTCGGTTTCTTCGAAATAAAAACGGAGACTTTTGAAAACGCAACGCTCCTAAGACGACTGGATGTGAACAGTTTAGAAAGCGATCGTCTGGATAGTTTGCAGTTTCGTCTTGACTGGCCTTACAGTTAAGTTGTCAGATAACACGACCTTGAAATCATCGATGACTGCAGATGTCACCGCCCTCGACACAACAAGTGAATGCTTTGTAGAAGCCCTGGATAAGTTGGACAATCTTCTGGGGGACACCATATATTAGGGTCGAAGTACGCGTCACAGGCTGAGAGAGGGCGACCTCGGTTTAAAATGGCACGTGAACAGTTAGAATTCCTGGTCGAAAAAGACTTCGAAGTTGCCGAATTTACGAAACTCATTGTACAAGTACTGTAGTGGTCAGTATAAAACGCAGACTGCCAACTAGGGATAAAATGTAGGCTTTTAAGCATATATCGTGTTATTTCCGGCATTATCGAGGGCTAATCGTAAACAGGGTATTCAGGCTAATTGCAGTGAAAGTCTGCACTGTGGTTAGCCTGAATATCACCCCGGCTGGCCTAGCTCCGATTAGCCCGTCAGTACGGTTAGCTCTCAATGACCACTCTAGTAGACCGGACTCGAGTGACCGGCGGAAATCGAGCCTAAAAATGGAAATAAGAGCATTTCATTATCACAATTTCTTGGAGTGCACCCTAAAAGATAATTTGACAGCTAAACATATTGACGAGGACCTAAAGGCAGAAGAGACACCCTACGTCCAGGACAGTGGATATCTTATCAAATTTATTGAAAATGCTGCCCAAGCAAGGTCCGGCCTAAAAACCCACTAAGCCGATCCGATTGGCCTTGCCATGATACCCAGTGTACCAGGGGTATCTCACAGGGTAAAACGCACGTTGCAACGGCTCAACATAAAGATTACTTTCAAGCCCATACGTACACTTGCTTCTGTCGCCATAAAACCGAAAGATCGTCCACCGGACGAAAGAATAACAGGCATTGTTTACAGGGTTAAATGTATGGACTGCGATTTTTCTTACATTGGAGAGAACAAACGGTGCAGGGCTTTGAGAGCAGCAGAACATTATCCGACGCGTAAAGAGTCGGCGATCCCGGCAACAGGCCGAAAAAACCGCACGACATCCACCTAGACTACGGCGAAATTCTTGAAACTAATTACAAGCACAGGGTTTTTCTGGAATCTTTCATTCAAAGATTGACAAGAACTCGCTGTTACGGATCTCTTGAGATCAGGAACATTAAGCAGTGATTTTGAATTTCAAATTCACTGTCCCCCGAAGAAAAACCAGAGATACGATTCGAAAATTTGGCAAACTTTTAAAGTTTCTAAATCAGCTAGTTTTAAGCTTTTACCCTCTTTTAAGAATCATGAACACTGATCGCCAAAGGAACATTACTTGGGCTTGCTTTTTCTTTTCCTTCGTCCTATGAACTTTTTTTATAGCTGTTTGCAGTTTTGCAAGCACAAAGGGATTCTTTCTGCAAATTTTGTCAAATGCGCTTTGTAAACAATACCAAAAGACAAAAAGCATGAAAGACGAGCTCCAAGATGAGCGTTTGCTGCGAAAATTCTCCACGAGGTTTCGTCCATTTTACTTCAAAATTCGATTTTACTCGGCCGGTTTTTGAGGTTTTTAATACTTTTCTCTCGTAAACATTCGATAAAATGACTGACTTCAATCTTGTCTTTTGACTACAACTTTGTCAAATAAAAGAAAAACGATTTTTTTGGACTTGAAGATGGCAAGCAACCTTAACGAGGGAACGCTGCCGAGCTCGGGCCCGTCTGAAAAATTCGCTCTTTTGATATTCCTTAGGGAACCAAGAAAGAAAAAAAAACCATGCCTTGTCATCTTGCTGGATCTGCGATTGCACAGGGTCCCAATGTTGGTCTAATTGACAAGTGGTCAGATTGGAACCCAGATTCTATTAAGACCAAATGGTTGCTATTGTCAGGCGCTTCAGATCCTCCAGACAACATTGCTATCTCTGATAGAAGGACCAGGGACACTCATGGAGTCAAAGGCGGGACATTTCGTTCTGCTGTTGCTCATGACTTGGCCAACATGGAAGCTGCAGTTGGAGCTAAGTTGTTTAAAACTGTTAAAGATATTTGTCTAACTAATTCCGCAGCCACTGGTCATATTCGGAAACTTTTTGATACGTGCAAATGTGACCGGGTTAAACCTATCTTGTACTACACTGGGCATGGAGAAATTGGGACTGGAAACTGGTGCTTTGCTAATGGGACAATCAGTATTCAAGGAATTCTTAATATGAGTCCTGAAGGAACTCACTACCCAATGATTTTCAGCGATGCTTGCTACAGTGGCCATTGGGCAAATTTCTGTCTGAAAAAGAACATCCCGGGATTCCACTGTCTGGCAGCATGTCCGGAGTATTCTAAAGCTGTTGATACCAAAGGTTTGTAAAGCCTTCAATGTATTTGGACGCACCTATGCGTGGCAATAGACTACAATGTTTAGTTCCATTTAATGGGGGCGCGTGCTAACATCACGCTTTTATTGGCTCCTTTTGAGCATGCGAATGCAAGATTTGCTCTAGCAATAGACCAATTTCGATATATTAAAATTCAGCCTAAAACAATAGACCTCAGTCCGAGGCTCCGGGGAATAACTGCAGAGTTTGTGGGGTTTATTCCCTGGAGTCTCGTGCTGAGGTCTATTGTTTTACGCTAAATTTTAATATATCGAAATTGCGCTATTCACTTTAAGAATATATATACATTATCATATAGACATTATCATCAAGCACTATTTGACAGGTCTGGTTTTCTTTCCTTGTTGTTCTCTTTTCACTAAATTTAACTTTAAATAGCAATTAGGGGCTAATTTGAAAATCTTGGCTACTTTAAATAATAACTTCTTTTTCATTTTGTTCAATCAACTTGCAATGTGTTTAATACATCCCATGTAATTTATGCAAGTGAGTCCATAAATTAAGACTACAGTTTTTATCATTATCCTGAACTCTCTCTTCTCTCGCCTGGGTTCAACCCATATATAGGGTGGGAAAGGAACAGTTCAGAGACTGGACTAGGGTAAAAACAGTATTCACTAGAAGGGCCTTTTACTTGAAACAATTAAAAACTTGATCGCGGTTTTACCTTGGGACTAAACCCTTTTATAGTCTTGGTTAGCAATGTCTGTAAATTAAGCTACGGCATTCCTAGAAGTTCTGCGTTTTAAACTACAAGGAGTAAAACTTTAAAAGTCGGAAAAGCCTGAATTCTTGTCTCATTAAATTGATTTTTCAAATACTTTTTTAGGCGAAGGTGGGGATTTGACTTTGTTCATCACCGGAAAACTACCACGTCCAAGAACTGAACCTATTTACAGTAGAAGGAACAGGAACGACTTTCCGATTACCACTGGATATGACTCCGTTGAGTACACTGATTTTATCGGTAGCCATTTGCTCAGTTCTGAAGATATTTTGATCAGCCAAAGTTTCCACAATGGATGCTTTAGTGGTATTTTTGCAGCTTCAAAAATGTACACTCCCAGGCCCGCCGTTTCCTGGGAAATTCGATCTAACTATGACTCTTTCTTCGAGTTGGTCAACGAAAATTGGAATCGGATGAATCGAAAGTCCAAACAGATATATTCTCTCGCCTGCGATGAAAAGTTGGGATTTGGAGTACTTTTCTTGGCAAATTATGGCGTGGATCAAACAATTTTGACGAACACATCAGATATAGGGAAGAAAGAGAAAGATGGTTTTCAGATCACTGCTTGTGCTGCCCAGGGTTCAACATTCTATATCGTCATGACAAAGGACACAAGAGAATACCAAGGGAAACAGGCATGGTTCACTTTGAATTCATGGGACGAGGCTAAAAATGTAATCCAGGAGAACCAGGATAAGGGAAGAGTTGTAACAGGGATATGCTACTCCACTGGCCAGATGAAGTATCTTGTTGTCGTGATGGAGACAACACAGGACCAGATTTACAGGAAGTTTCGTCGTGTAACTGACTTGGACAATTGGGTGAAAGAACAATATAAAGAGGGATTTCATCCTACCATTATCTTCAAGGATCCAGCTGATACCAAAACCTTAGTCGTGATGATTAAAGATGGAAACAGGTCGTGTTATACATGTAAATATGATTGTAAGGTGGTCCATTAATTAGGCGTCACAAAATATTCTCGTGGGATGTTTTTCAAAAAAAAAAAAAAAAAAAATTCTAGAATGTATATTGAACTTACGTGAAACCTGATTGGGTCTCATAAATTTTAAATGGATGATCTAGCCAGCTCACGAAATAGCCCAAGTTTTAGAAGTCACACTAAAACTGAGTGCTAACCCGGTGATTTGGACGCCCCCTTTCATAGGTTTAGTGCACCATGTAGTAATTTTCAACAAAAGCAAGGACTAAAAGCAGACTATTGTATTTAGGTTTCCATCACTAAAAATGTATTTTAGGTTTTGACTGTTCGACGTCATACTCTCATAGTGCCCCTTTCATTGTAGTACGCACAATTTCCCCAATCTGGTAAATAAAATGTCAACAGAACACGCTTCACCTAATTATGTCATTATCATCACTTTGTATTTGCTTAGGTAAATTGACCAATCACTGATTTCTCTTTTTTTATGAATACAAGTATTATGTACATACTACAAACGTATGATGTTGTTCAGAAAGTTGTTCACACTATTTTGAACGTCAATTTGAAAAGAAAAACCCTTTTCATGATTTAAGTGTTTATTGGTACCGGCTTTTAAAAAACAGAGGCTAAAAAATTGTCATTGTTCTAAAAATTTTGTTGCTGCTACTGTTTTGACCTTTATGTCCACAGTTGTGAGACTGTATACGGACAGTCAGTTTCAGTCAGTTGTAGTAGTGGTTGCACCCTAATGTGATTGCAACCAAAGCTGTAAATTAAGCATAACACAAGAGACATTAATAAAAAGCTTGTAACTTTTCACCAAGAGACCTGATTGTTTCTCGAGTTACTAATTTCTCGGAAGAGGAACATTTCCATATTCCACCCCCTTTTCGGTCATCTCTGAAATGTAAATTTATCTCGATGAATTTGTGCCCAAGATCACATTCTACAGGTTCTCGAGGTAGACTATCAAGCATTGTTTTCCTCGTGAAACGTTAGTCAGAGAAGTCCGAACTAGGGGCAGCTAGACGATGAGACATGTTCCTTGTTTGATCATTTAGTCTCATGTTTGCTTTCCAGCGACTTCTCCTTCAAGTAATTAAATTCTGGATCTAAATTCAACGTGGTCAAAATTCCCCTAGATCCCTAAAGCAAAGGTTCAAACTTTCCCTGGAAAAACTAAACGGGAAGAAGGCAATTATGGTTTACCAGTTGAATCGGGCGTTTAAAGTTCCACTACCATCAGGCTAAAGTCATGAGTGCGGACGACAAAAGTGGGACAATTCTGTTCAGTGATCGCCTCGACTGAAAACAAAACTTGAAAAAAATGCACAGGGAATAGGGACTAGAAACGGTTGGATTTGATAATAGGCCTTTTTCCGCATTTATTCAGCCTTGGGCTGCTTTCTACGTTCTTTTTTGAAGCACTCCCGGGAGAGGAATACTCGACCCATGTCTGGATGTAGGCGTGCCGCCAAGGGTTTCAAATTTTGACCCTATTTAGGACAGAGGAAAACTATAAAATTTCTACGCCGAGTAAGGCGACACCCTCTATTCTAGGACCCTGTATCCCGACAACCCTACAAGAGCTATCTTGTCAGTCCTAAATGTTATCTGATGTCGACTGATGACCATCTGAAGACCGGCAAAGGTCTCCCATCTCGGCTTGCTGAATGCTGTTTGAACTACATTTCACGATGGCAGTCGTGCAACTCTACCCTGTTAAGGACAGACTTGCATCCAATAATATACCCTGTTCAGAGCAGCGAGGCCAAAACGCATCCCCTGTCGGGCGGCACCACACCGTATAGGCCAAATAGGAGAGTACCCCTCAGGTAACTCATCTTTGCTCCAGTTTTTGTGCGATTCTTTTCCTCTTTCGTGTTTTACCCTGCTGGCTTTACGACCCATAGTGGTTTGTAGCTTTAACTACAATCAAAATTTCAACTGAAATTAGAATCGTGTGAAAGGCCAAAACATTTACGGAAAATGCCTCTTGTTCAATATTCGACAGCTGGTCTTGATTGCAAAGCTGGTGAAAGTATACATTCGTTAAGTCGCTTTTTGTAAACACGATGACCTCGTCATCGCTTAATATAATTAACATTTATTCTGCTACGTACAAATGATGTTTTTGATATTTACAGTTTAAGTTTATCTACAGCTAACGTCACACGTTTCATCACCAATTAGGTTTGTTCAGGTTTACATTGTCATTTACATGTCATTGTTTGCAGATGAATTATTAAATTGTGAAAACCGTCAACAAATTTCAACCTGTACAGTCAACGATTCCAGCACTGTTGTGTTTCAAACACAACTGATGGCAAAACTGTTGTAGCAAAACGATGCAAGCGCAGCAAGAGAGAGTAATTAGCTATTCTTATATGCTGGAATAAAAAAGAGTAAGTTCCTGAAGTATTAAAGTGTTACTACTGAAACTGCCATCACTGAACCCTGGAGTCAAAAGACAAATTCTCATTACCCATCTTCATACATTTCGTATAACATTGGGTGGGAGAATATCAGATCAGTTTTGTCTTGGTTATCAGTTGCTATGTTCTCAAACCCTACATGCTTGTCTTGTGTTGGTATTTTAAGAAGAAATCAGCCGCTGCTGTCGGGCAGACTAACCAAGATGGCTGACAAGGGCCTGACTATATATATCAGACCAGTTTTGCCTTGGGTATCAGTTGCTATGTTCTCAACTCTTGGATGCTTGCCTTGTATTGGTATTTTAAAATTAAGGAGAAGTCAGGTGTTGACATCAGGCACAGAGCCTGACTAAACTTGTTTTCAGATCAAGACATTTGAGATTTAGACTTCAATTCCAGCATCCATCACTCCTGCCTCAGCTATGGGCACAAACTTGTCATCAATTTTAACCAAAACAATCGGTCGATCTACATGGCTCCTCCTGGCGGGATCCCTGTGACATGGTGTCCAGCGATGTACCACAGTCCCCTCTACACCCTCAACTGGGTTCCAGTCCTTCCAATACGATCTCCCGCCTCGCTCTCGCATGAGCTCTGAAGGCCATTGAACATCAATTCTTCGCCCCAAGTTAATACTATCATATACTTGCCCGCGGTCAATAATCCGTACTCGTTGGGTTAGGCCCTCTGCAGCTGCGGCCCCAGGGCTCTGGAGCTGAGGCGTTTGGTGCTGAGCTATGTTCACAGATAACGTGCTGGGTCTCTTAGAGCCCGAGCTTGCAGTAGATCTTTGACTTGTACGTAAGCCAGGTTGGCCCCTGTTGAACGAGGAACTTGGAGTGGACCTACGGGTGCTTATATATATGGGACCCTCGCGGAAACTCGTGCAACGCTCTGCAAACGTTGGCCCTATAGAAACGTCCGGCACTGTGCCATCCGGAAGATCCCCTCCACTTTGGCAACTGGCCCCACAGCGCATGCGTATGCGGTGCCATAAACGGCCGAGACAACCAGCTATACCGTTGAAACTTAAGGGACCGCCAACAACTCGAGCGAGTTGAGTATTGGAGTCTGCATACGATGTTGTGAGTGGTGACACATATATAGGATATCCAATCGGCTGGTCGCATGAGGAGTTAATAATGTTTCGTAGTGCCTGCTTAGCATTCTGAATCGAGCCACGCTCCGGATTCCGGTTCCTGAGAAAGATCAGTTCTTGAAGCTGCCCCGCCCACAAACCTCGAACACACTCGCGATTGACCTGGAAACCAAGGGAGAGAAATCGATATTCAAGTCGTGTCAAAAGCAGGGACTGCAAAAATGTTGGAATTTGACGGTAAAAGCTAACACGCAGAGAAATAGTTCTTACCAGGTGAAATAATGAAAGGAAAAATCTATTAACAAGCAATAAGTAGTAGGAGCAAAAAATCAAAGGAGAGTAACTTGCAAGCTTTGAGTCTAAAACAGCCCTTGGGCTCAGATGATACTTTCCACATACACCAATGCATTTTGGATTTCTCTACCTTTTGACAAAGGAAAGTAAAGGACAAATCGAAAATATACAAGAGTGACTTTGTTTGAGAGCGATCAACACGAATTACGGACAAAAAACGAAAAAAAGATGACAATCTTTTTTTTCCAGATGCGCAGTCGGTGATCTCCTATAAGCGGACACCACTGAAACGGATTCTTTTTTCAGGCCTCAAGGTTGCTCACTGAAGCCCTGGCCAAACGGACTCGGGAGTAGACGCAAGTTGAAAACTTGGGTCTACCAGTGACTCCGTTTGGCCAGGCCTTGCGTGCACCTTCGTTGACTTACGACGACTTGGGCCCACTTTGATCGAGATTAAATTTGCACGCAAGTCAACGCAAGTTGAGTGACGTCCATTCGTTGTTATAGCAACCTATTAGCCAATGAAATACAGGATATGTTTGCGTAATGGTTACATTTTGGCCGCGCGGGACTGAGCCCGTAGCCTTAAAATGGGTTTTTTGGGCTACTTGCGTGTACTTGGGAGGAAACAACGGAAGTCTGTACACAAGTTCAGCTAGCCGCTTCTTGCAGCTGCATGCGACTACATGCGAGTCCATTTGGTCAGGGCTTTAGGGAAGTTAAACTGTGTTTCACTACTCACTTTTATAACCCTGAAACTCAGATATCTTTTGTTGAGCATGATGACCTTGTACTCGTCTGTGCCATCATCAAACACATGTCTGAAATACAAAAACATAAACAACACAGAATAAGGGTCTGTTCATCACTCATGCTGTGTTGTTTTGAAAGTAGATGACTGGAACAAAACAAATCGCACTCTGGACGAGATCGCATTCGATTCCTCAGGCGTAACAGTTGTACATTAAGGTTGGGACACAATAGGGGACAACAAGCGCGGAGAAGTTGCAGCGACAGTTTTCTGCACGTGACACGCCCGTTTTTGAGAAAAAAAGGTCTGTTGCAGGGACAGCATTTTCTCCCCGCAAGATATTGCATGAAATCAGCTGGTTTGAATTCGTGGATTATGATGCAGGGACAAAATGACCTCAATTCTCAATGCTGCTTCGTGTGCACTGCTCTTGTAAATTGTTCCCGCTACAACGTAGACATGAGCCGGCCATATCCGCTTCGTGTGCAAAAGCTTACGTACTGTCCCTACAACAGGTGCCCTAGGTGTACACTCAAAGAGGCTTGTCCCCGTTTCACTTCCCTGAGTGGGGAAGTTTGACAAATTTGCCATATACATGCTTTGCTGGGATAGAGAACCACTGAAATCTATCCCTTCTTCTGGAAAGGGACAGCTAAGAGAGTCTTGTTAAACCGCTATTTTACGCATGGTCTTACACCTGACCTGAGGGCCAACAAGGATGGAGTATTAGCAAGCACAGCCTGCCGCCATTTTGGATCTCCTTCATGCGAGATCACCATGCTTTGTTCGTGAGATGAGATGGCATCGTAAAGGACTGAAAGTTCCTCGTATTCATCAGGGAAGGTGAAGTGATCCTTGAAAATAAAAGAAAATGCAATTGAAAACACAAATATAAGATAAATAAGAATGAGACGAAACAAGACAAGAAAAGCCAAGTTAATATGAAGACACTCGAAACATAAACACTTTTAAGTGTTAAAATACTAAAAGATAAAATTTAAACAAAATAAAAATTAAATTAAAATTAAATTAAAATGTTAAAACATTTTTTTGTGCTTTTTTGTTGATTATCCAGTGAAGGTCATTCATATACATAAAAGGATTGGTGTTTTTAAAATATGCCAAATCCTTTTCGTTTACTTGAAAAGCCCTCATTGGATAATAAAAAACATCTTCATAATTCCAATGCCTTCACTGTCTTCTTAGCTGGTGAGAAAAAACTGCCCTGGAAAGCCTTTCAGTGCCTTAGATACAGGACCATTTTCTACGTTTACATTTCCCTCTCAATACAAGTTTGTGTTTAGCCACTCGATGCACATGCCACATCCGGGTATTTTGTAGAAGCAGTTTAGTTGCGCCCGCAACATTTCATACCTGATGTAGTTTTAGTGACATGCGCACTCCAGGTGCGACGACTTTTCGTAGGAGATCCATGTCAGCAAACACCCACTCATCCTTGGGGTCGGTGATTCGGAAATCTCCTTTGAACAGAGCGTGCAAACCGTACAAAAACGATTCCAGGCTGGAGAGAAGTGAAAAGAGGTTATTATCTACATGCTATTGCACGACATTATCGAATGAGCGTGAGGTCCGTATTAGGAAGATACAACAAACAACAAATTGTTTTATTCTGCTTTTGAAAAAACAATTCGCCGCCGAAACTAATTCGCGAGCACTCCATCTTAAAGGTCAGTATTGTACAGTTTGGAACGCACAGGAACCAATACGAATTCGCCTTGTCATCTTACACCAGTTTCCCATGTAATAAATCAAACATAATTTCTCCTTAGTTATTTTCATAAACTTCTATACAGTTTAGGTGGGAGAATTTGATAGTACATCGAGATCATATAAGTGGTTGATCTGGGCCTAGTTGTACGAAGGCTGAACAGCGCTATCCACCCGATAAATCGCTATCCAGTGGATAAGTGTTAACAAAACAAACCACGCTATCCGCTGGATAGTGATTTACCCGGTGGATAGTGTTATCCACCTTTTGAACAACCCAGCCCCAGTCGTTTTGTCATTGTTACTTGCATGAATGGCAACGTATTGATATGGTTATGAGAAATAACATACTGATCATTTGTGAATTAAATAAGGTTTAATCACCTGGCAGACTGTGGATGTGACGCTGTTCCCAGTGCTCGTCTCGCCAGAAGACACAACGCAAAACACAGAGTGACCAGAAAGGAGTCTCTTTCACACTCGATAGGCTGAAACAATGGAAACACTTGTGAGGAAGTTCCACAGTTAACTGTAAACGGTTTGAACCCAGGAGTATTAGTAGTAGTGAGATCGTCTTGGCGAGGGTAGTTCTGAGAAGAACTGTTGTTGTCGGTGACTAACACCAGCAAGTCACCAACAACAGTTCTTTTCAGGATTATCCTCACCCAGACAATTACACTATACCAACTACAGTTAACTGTAAGAAGGATCTATAAAGGAGGAATAACTCTAATTTTTCGATTCTCCAGAAACCTGTTTCACTTTGTCTCACAGTAGACCGGCATGCCAAGATCTTTGTTAGAAGGTCTGTCACCGTGCACATTCCTTTGCTTTGCGCTCGTACACTAAGCATTAACAAGTTGTCGAGACAGAAGTTAACACTAGTGTGTTTTTTGCACGGTCAAGGCAAAAAAAGCGAACAAAAACATACAAGCATTTTTTCGGGCCTCATACCCATCCCTCTCCATCAACTATGCTTGAACTCAAGGCTATTTCCGCAGTGATACTCTCTTCCATCAGTCTGCATGTTACAGCTCCCCTTAATCAAAACTTAATAGTTTAAGGAGCTCACTCACGGCATTTTGAATTACACCTTTTGCTGTTCATTTACAGAAAATAAACATTCATTTGTGTCCAAGTTTCTTTCATTGATCATTAAACTCTCATTAACACCAATATGACCTTCATTTGCGCGTAAGGAACGTTCAAGAAAAACATTTACATATGCATTAACATTCAAAATCATCAAAAGAAAAACAATACCTTCATTTGACATTCATTGACTGTAAATGTACTTTCATTTTGGTCGAAAA